CTGTAAAACGTCAAATGAATGCACAGAATTAGAAATATAGAGTCCTTCATCGAACAGAGATGAATATGTTTGCCCAACAAATACGCATAACGGTTGCACAGCTTTCTGGAGGCTCACTTCAGATTTTTACAATTGAGCGCTTGGACAACCTACTTTCGAATATCTGAGGAGAAATAATTCTCCGCTAAGATACAGAAAGTGAAGGCGGTATTAATTTCGCGCCAGATATCCTGAAAACCGAAGGTTATTTGATGAACCAAACTTAATCAGGTCATGATAAAAGCTTGTCAGAAAAACAGATTTCCTAAGGATTCAGTTCACCACTTATACATCGATAGCCCAGACACTGAGCTCAGATTTGGATCTTTATACATCAAGTTTGTCGTGTAGTATCCACAAATGCGGTTCTACTGGAATATTGAAGATCAAGTGTTCGATAACCAAAACAAGTTCATTAACACTCAGCAGGTCTGTTCTTATCAAAGAAATGCTACAAACAGAGCAGTAGGGGCAGGTTAAAATTGTAAGTTTGTATTGATAAAGCCTTACACAACCTCATCTGCCCTTCTAAATGGGACGACATTTATGAAACCATGGACGGAAGTAATGAAACAGAGAAGTCAGAAGTGCAGTCGACTGACTAACAGACACTGAATGTTTATTTCTCCATGTAAAATAAACGGCGTTAATGCCTGACGTCATGAAGACTGACATGGTTGACATGCAAGTGCATCGGTTCTAGAATAGTATAAATTTAGTAGAATCCTCATTGTATCAATCGACAAATGAAACTGATGCTCCACATAACTACTCTTCAGTAAACATATTTCGGTCATTCAGATGTACGCCCTAAATAGCAATTTGACTTTATTTGATAGAATTTGAATATTTCTAAATTGATAAAACGAAAAATTCGCTGTAACATTAAGAACAACAGTCTTGCTCTGAAACGTGTTTTCGTTATTGTGCCGAATTGTCAGACTGCTGTGTTATTGCAGAGTTTATATACTCCTTATGTAGAATCTCCCGGTAAATTAATAGTCTTTAGTACATCATTGGAAGTATCATTATTCTTTCCAAAGAACGCTCTGATAATCTGACTTGGTTTTCTCCTATTTTGTTTTTTTTCTTAAACTCCGTATGAGTAATTCAAGAACTATTAGGAACTCTGTGTGAGTACAGAGTGGGATTCAAGTGCACAACAACAACGTCAAATAGAATAGATGAAATGCACCTCAGTGGGTGGAAAATCTAGTAGCCTGTTGACTTAAGCGGGTCACAACTGCAAATGAATTATACGTAAATAGGTTCAATCGCATACGGAAGACGTGTGGTTTATTATTCTACATAATGCGGATAAGCTAGGTGTAGGTATGTACCAATTTTTTAGGTGTATTCCATAACTGAATCTGACCGAGTGTAATTCTCTAATATTCACGAGGAATTTCGTTTCGACTTTTCACTACTCACTGACCCCTGAGTTGCCCTTATGTGTTTCTCTTAGCCATCTGAATATCCTGGAATCTTTTGAGCTCCGAGTCAGACTGAATCATTATAAATATTTTAAAATATTCCCAGCGCGTTTAAGGAAAAGTGAAAATATCTTCAAGTACCACACAGTGATGCGATATTAACAATAAATTGGGCTCGAAGCGTCATCCAGTTGTCAATACTGCATCTCTGTGTGATGTTCAAAAATAAATCTATCTAATGTGGAATTAATTACAGTCTACCACGATGTCTGAAATTATCGGTAATAAAAGTGAGTCTATCGAAAACTGTATTACTCTATATAATCATATTCATCCAAACATCCGAGTGACTTCCGAGCTCGATCTGAATGACAAACTCGGTTTCGTGGATATTTCAATGACCAGGAGAGCCGATGTAACGATTAAGCGATCCATACTTAGTAGACAGACATGGAGTGGATAATATCTTCATTTCACCGGTTTCGTTCCTATCCAGTATAAACGTTCCCTCATGAAATGCTTGTTTTCAAGGGCCCACAAAGTATGTACGAGCGACACATTGATGGGTGAGCTTCGACACGTACATTCAGTTTTATTAGCTAGTGGTTATCCAGAAAGCTTTATCAATTGTCACAGTGAGGATAGACCACATCCTGAAAAGACAGCTTCTGCTCCAAGGAAAGCCATCTTTGTTAACCTACCATTCAAGGCTGATCACATTTTGCGGTTGACGGCTCAGAGACTTCGGTCAGCCATCAAGCACGCACTCTACGTTGCATCTCTTCCCCCTCTGCATCTACAACATTTTCGATCCCTGTACCTACGATTAAAGGACGAAATTCACTGGACTCTACTTCAAACTGTATCTACAAGTTCATCTGCAGTTGTGTTGACATCTATGTAGGTAGAACCAATAGAATGTTCCAATGTCGTCGAAAAGAACATGTCCCATAATGACTATGAAAACATATAGTAAATCCCAATGTAATTAATCTGAATAGAAATCCATCATCACTCATTGAAAACCGCTTATCAATGTCAGGTCACAAAATCAATATTAATGACTGATTCATGATTACTTCACATAACTCTAATTCAAGGTTATTGGAGGTGATGGAAGCACTTTGAATTAATCACATACATCCTAAACTATGTGTACAAAAAACAATAGACTTCAACCTTCACCTACCATGGACTACTTGACTGTATAAATATAGACCAGTCATTAGTATGTACTTTTGTTTTATATGACTGAGTAATTGTCATGCATTCCATTTTATTATTGTGAACCATGTTACTTGTAAAGGGGTTGTGAAAAAACTAAGAAACTAATGATATCATCTCGCGAGACGTCTTTTCTAAATGTCTTATTCAAATTTATCACAGAGACTAATTGTTTGAATTTGGAATATTTATAATGGTTGAAATTTCATCCTTATGATATACAATGCCTAAAGCAACAAAACATTTCGTCATCACTTCAAGGAACCGATATCTTGGAAATCCCATTACTATTTGACATGCGTTTCCGTCTACACACAAAAATAACAAGCTTTGGATGAATTACAGGATAGTAGGTTGTTCATTTGGATAAGTCTTTGCACATATTATTAAAAGAAAAGGCGTTCAGTGAAGAGTTACTCTTTTCGACGGTGTCATTCTCAAGCTGTACAATCTTATATATATATATATATATATATATATATATATATATATATATATATATATATATATTTAATGGGAATTCCCTTATCGACCAAATAAATATTTCCAAAGATGTGTCATTAGCATTGTAAGTTTTAGACAAAAAATTTGTGTAGCAGAGAAAGCGTTGGTTGGGGCGAAACTAAAATACAATCAAAACGTTTATTTGAGTATCGCAATAAATTGATGGGGTTGGAGAGATTTCAGCTAACATTTGAGCGATAGTCAAGCTAACAGCAGTGCTTATGAGGGGTAGAAATTCAACTAACGTTGGTAGGAACATAAAAAGAAAAATTGAATATATGGTGTTTAGGTCTATTGTAGCCTCAATGGCGCTGAGTTAGCGCGAATAAAACCTGAAGAAAATATTGTTTACATCTGAACTGAGACTAACTTTCTCTACGAAACGAATGATTAGCTTGAATTTGAACGTGCAGGATAAGCTACCACAGCTTGGCTCATCAATGTTCACGCATGTCATCCATAATCAGAGTTCGCGAACTCAACGCATCGTTGAGCACTTTCCTTAGGGTTTTATAAGGGAGAAACTGATCCCCTTGCAGCTATACCTTGGAATACCTGATCGAATCTGGACACCAGGATAACTCACAAAGTCGCAGAGTTGGACACAACAGATGGTTAGTTATTCCTGACTCCTAACGATTCTCTAATTGATGTAAATTCTTGTGGGAATTCTCACTGAAATTATACAAAATTCTCGAAAAATGCTAAATTTGGTTGCCTGTGATATCAAAAGCTACAATTGAATGGATTATATGTTTTATCCTGTTAGTATTACATATACATAATCAAAGCAAGAAGAGTTTACACTAACAATTTTATGAGCATCAGTTTACGCCTATGCACCGAATTAATAAATGAAAACAAGGAATAAATCCATAATGAACCGGAAATAACTGGATATTCATTTCGCCGATTTGTGCACGATTGATGGAATTACTGGTGCGGTTAATTACATGTAATTTGAAAATATTTGCACATGTCCAGTGTTGATTGCGCTGTATCATAATATCGTAAACGTCAGTAGCGCTAAGTGCAATCTTCCTAAGTTTCCTTATTATGGAGTCACCTTTATCCATGTTTATACCACGACAATATTTAGGTAAACATGAATAGTTGAAACTTCTGACAGTTCTCACTCATTCTATTATGAGGAGTTCATGATTATGTCTTTCTATATGTGCTCATCGGACGAGTGTCTATATGTTACCTCCACTTCGTCCGTGGTGTTGGTTGCAATACACCATTAGGACACAGGGAACGCATTATTGTCTACGACTTATTGGACGAATTCAACCGTAGCCTAGTGACTGATAATTTCTGAATTCAAGCAGAAAATAAAATCTAAAATACGTTGCGAAATTGACAATAAGTCTGGTCAATGAACCAGATTTTGGCTTCTGAAATGGTGCGTGGTGAATTGAATTTATGCAGCATGAACATAAGCAAAGCACAGATTGTATGTCCCGAAGGTAAATAAGACCAAATCTGATGCCCACTTACCCCAGTTTCTAAGAAAAAGATTAGACTTAATTTAAAACTACTTGAGAAGGGGATTTAGATCCGTACAAACGTTATGTATGCTGATCAAAGTTATTGAATTCATGTTTCCCGTCACTCCTAGTGCTAAATTTTAATGCCAAATCCCATGATAAAAGTTACGTAAATAATCAGAATACACATAATTGCTCTAGTCAGAAATCTTTAAAGGAAATTTACACACCAGCATGATTAGTGTCTACGGTGGAAATCCTAAAATATTTCAATTTGCAGCAACTTACAAGACTTTCAAATACATATGTATTGCCATAATACGTTTACCCATTCATGTAAATACAATCAAAAGAATTAAGTGAACGTGAATTGTGTGTTGAAAATCTTGCAAACTCGTTCGCATGTTAGGCAGAAAGATTTAAGAAGAAAAGACTAAGATAATACATTTATTGTATACCTGTACACATCATTATTTATATTTATATATGAATATAAGCTGTGAACTTGGTGAATACAAGGAATACAAGGACGAGTTTTATTATACAAAACCAAAAGTAAAATGTGTGTAGATCGACTGTGTATTCACTTGTATCAACAAAGTGTATTACCAGAATGAATTGGCTTCTGTCTTTCATGATATTAAGCAGACAAATTCACCTTGTATCAGTGTACATCCATCTACAAAAAGAAAACAAAGCGAACTGGTCATCCTAATTTCAGACGAGAAAACAAAATCAGAATGAACATTGATACACGTGTAACGACGCTTGGGCACTGTGGTTGGTGTATGTAATTCCATATCAATTTGTTTATTAGATATATCACACAGTGAAACAGTATCATTTACCCGATGACGTTTCGAACACAATTCATTGTTCATATTGAAATTAAGTGATATGATTATGAAGAATAAATTGTTATCCAGTAAATAATACTGTTTCACACATTAATTAATTAAAACAGAATAAAAAAATTACTCATGAATAAATTTATTTATTTATTTAAAAACAAACAAATCAGAAATCAGAATAATCTGTCTAAGTGATTTCTCAAGACTCTTAATACATCTTAATATACCTTAGAATTGGTGAACGGTAATTTAGTTGGTTGACACTCAGAATGGTTGATTTGAAATCCTTCTGACAAATCAGTGTTTCGCTGAGACATTGGATAGTACTCCTTTATTGGAGTAGGTAGCTGGACTTATTGTTCGCAGTAAATCAAGTAATATGAGTTCACGTACAAACTACTTCACTGATAATGTTATTTAATTTATCGATGACGAAGCGATGAAGTGAAGTTAGTTTGTTACTGAGTTTAACTACATTAACTTCACAATTAGTGAAGTTGGAACGGCCTTCAAATGTTGGTTTGATTTGATATATTGGGTAACGATGACAGAAAAGAGAAACGCGGAACTCCAATTGATGCCTTCCTAATAACTACATAGACTATATTCCAACTAAGTTGTCAGAGACAACTGATGTTCCAGTTATGATTTAACTGAAATCAGAAAGCACTGCTTTCAGCCTCCATACGAATTAGTGACATCAGTAACATTAACCTAGTACTTATTCATCAGGTTCTCACCATATGACTAGGAAAGTCATTTCATATTTTGACCAAATTCACACCAAATGAACCAATTTCATTACTACTCAAGCACGAGAGAATCACGCAGCACACACTTATCTTACTTAATAACTCACTTTCACTATAAATGACTCTTCCTCACTGATGGTATATCCAAGGAAATCCAATGAAGTAAACCGTTGTACATGGTTTGTGAAGAGATAACACTGTAGTCCAATGTATTCAGTCCATCAATTTTAATACGTGCTGATGCGTTTTTTAACAATGCGTAGCTAAAAGTAAACGTATGAGAGGTAAAATTTAAGGTAGAAAAATGGCGTTTTGTGTATGCAATTACATTTCAACTTACATTATTAGGGAATTCATTCTGATCGACATGATACATGACTTCAAGGAGAGAATCACAGTTGTTATGAACAACGTACTTTACATGTGATGAACTGCTATGCTAACAGCCAAGGACTAATTGGCGAAATTGTATCCATTTTGAAGCCAACGTTTATAATGGTTGTACGGATTGTGGTACTGGCACAAAAATGGCCTCGTTTTATTGAAGTTATTGGTCACATTTCAGTTGAAGACTATCTTGTAAAGTGCATAATATTCGACAAACATTTTAACCTTCTAAACCAATGATGTGCATTTCATGATGCACTGCACAAGAAAGCACTTGTGTAAGCTATCAGTGAATCAATCTTAAAATTCAAAAGTGCATCGTCAATTCAAAAGTGTCAGCAAACACTTTGCTTTCTTTATAATATCAATAAAATCATAAAAACTAATAAATACCAGTTCTAAGGAGACATTCTCGGATTGTCAGACAGAGTTTAGAAATAACACTGAGATATTATCACAAAGCAGCTTACCGGTCTGGATTGACTTCATTCAACTTATCAGTGGCATGACTCAGTGTATAGTAACGACCAATATCTGTACTGATTCGAAATACCCCATATTTGGATTGACTAACTCGAGTCAATAAATCATCATCCTCACCACCCCATCCTTCATATAGGTTTGAAAATCCATTTATTTCCAGAAACTGTTCACGTGTAAATGCCACAACACCACCGAAAAAATCCCTATACAGTACTCTACACGAAAACAGGCAAAATCAAAATTATATTCTTACTATGATCACCTATAAATCCGATTCTTCGAAACAGACATTTTCAAGCCATAAAACAGTAAGTGAGCAAGTAAGGAAGTAAGTAAGTAAGTGAGTAAGTGAGTATAACAATAGTCTCAGAGGACCCACCAAGTTTGAAGAACACAAAAGTAAAATAGTCAAGTCAAGTTATAACCTTCTGACTGCTAGAACGTGTTCACAACCATCAGTGGAAGACAATAGTAATCCTAAATGAAATTAGGTTGAAGGTAAACTTTTGACGTCATTCTGTCTGTTGCAGGACGTCTCTTCGGTGACGTTATAAAGTTGAATTCCCTGAATTCAACAAAATATCTCTTCACTGTTAAGGCTTGAGCAATGACACAGTCAGTGGAAAGAAAACCAGTTGAAGCTACAAATATTTTAGGTGTTCAGATTCGAGAGAATAGTGACTGATAGGCAGAGTTAAAAGTGACTCCAGTGTCGTGTGATTGGAAGTAGATGCTTTTTAGATGCTAATCGGCATGAAGCACTCATATCTTTCGAAATAGCAATTCTTGTGAATTGTGAAACATCTGACTGTCTTTCTTGACTTAGGTAAAATTGTGCATTTAAATTTGCACAGATAATTCAAATGCATCAAAGACCGAACTCCATTCATCGGTTGGGACTCTCGCCGACCGTGGACATAATCCGGGGTTTGATCCCCAGCCAACGGACACCTGATATCTATGGTCGGCCAGGAAAATTTTCGCTACTGATATCACATGCTGACAATTTCATACTTCTATGGAAAATACGGTATGTAATCAAACTATAATCAAAAGTAAAATAAATGAAGACAGCGTATCCGTTGTCTTCAAACATTTTATAGCAAACACGTTTAAAAGCATGTTCTTAAGATACAGCCATACACAATTACTTATTGTCCGTGATTTAAGTGTCTGGCCACTGCGTTGATAGACGCAGGTTCGAATCTCAGGGCGTGCATCAGTTACTTCCAGCTTGTGGGCACACCTTGCTGACGAGTGTCAACGAGTGTCGCGAGAATCAGATCCATGGCTACTTTCCAGTCGCCTCCAGACATCTAAACCGATGTGGAGAGATTATCGTATGATTTTCAGATAATTGTGTACTTAAATAACCGAGTTCGAGCCCAGTGATCATAATAATGACAAATATAAACTTTGTTCTGAACTTGGATTCAAATGTAATGCAGTATACAGACGACTGGTATTTGTCAACTCCATTAAATGAGCCCTTTACTCAGAAAAGAATGTTAAAACTTTTGTGTCTGGATCTCTTCGGTCTGCCTACCAAGAACTACTAGTGTGCGCAATCGGCGTTCAATTACTGATATCCATCAGTCAGTGTCACTTTGCATGATGCGGTTACATCTCTCGTCATAATTACTCAAAGGAATTATTGATTCCTGTCACTGACACATTAAAAGAGGAGATAAAGTGGCGATGAAGGAAAACAAGAATACTCTGAAGAAGCCGTCATGTCCTTAATTTCTCCTACTTATTGAATACTTTCATAACTCGCTAGTAACTGAGAACAATAGTCTTACTCAATAAAAGTAAAATAGCTTGAATTCACATTTCAAAATTGTAACAGCTCGACATATGCCTCGTTTCTTTCAGCACATTCCCATTCTGGAAATTAGTCGCCACTGTAAGATGTGGGAAAAATTTCAGGTGATAATAATTTTGAGGTTTATGAGAGTTAATGCAGAGGAATAATATTTTGTAAACAAATTTTGACTAGGATATAAAAGAGAGATAATCAACGTTTTTGGAGGGATTGGCCAACACATTTTACTGAGGATGTGACCGTGAATTCTATTTATTTGAATTGTGTGTTCAATGGAAATTCACCAGAAGAAGTAGAAATTAAATCGTATCATATTTTGGTACTTTATTCAATGAGATACAGTCCTCTTTCACCAAAGAAAAGAGGTACACTGATGACTATCATTAAACATGAAGAAGAATATCGTATACTAGAAACTCAGGATTTCCATTTACTTAAATTCTACTCTAGAATCCAATCAATTTTCTCTGATTGCCTTTTCACGTGTACAGAAAGCATCAGAAAAGCATGGAATGAATCGTCCAACTTCTGTGAGTTTAATGGTTACCTGGATACACAAGGCTCAGTCTAAATAATTCCACACAGAACGAATCGAATGGCTGATCTCGCCACAGATAAGCAGTGACATAAAACTTAGAAATACCCTGTTTTTGACTTTCACACCCTTTTTACTATCACATTAATTTTGTGGAAACTGGCAAAAGTGTAACGTCTTGTAAGGTAACTTTGTGAATACTGATAGGTATAACTTATCATCTAGTGAAAAATATTAATTTTTTATTGAGTTTGGAAACTTTCAACTGACTTGTAATCATTCTGACTAAGTGCAGAGGAAAAGTGCGTCGGACGTGAATTACACGTATAAGTAAGACGGTCATCTTCAGGCAGTTTGTCCACATCGTGTAAAATGAAACAGCTATACTCCTGCAACTTTGAAACCTCAAGAAACCCAGCATTTAAGAGAGCACCACGGTTAAATTTAGTTTTACCGGTCTGCAAGAAAGCAATAAAGAAATCATAAATTTTACAACGCGGAGTCGCAGAGGAAAACAAGTACTTGTAATTCCTAAGGCCTAAACCCAACTTTTCTTCTGTCAACGTTGTGATAAATAACCTCTGAATACAAAAGTGCAGTGACAACATATTTGAAGGGTATCAATAGGATGTATGAAAACCTATGTAATCACCAAAATATATCTTTTGATAGTTAATAATATCCGAATGATTCTTCTGCAGAAACTCTCGCTTACACAGCGAAACGTTCGACGATATCTTGCTTCGATTTTTTCTCAAACACGCTGGAATTATTTTAAATCACCTACGATGACTTGAAGTGACAGTCTACGCTTGTTCTACTGTAATGACTGAAACTGATAGATTTGAACCTGAGAAATTCGAATGAGTCGCCTGTTTTCTCCTGTTTCCACGCTCCTATTTCATACCAGCCATGGGGGATAATGTTCAGGCAGGAGACCTACTCAGTGCAAAGACAACCCGGGTGAAATTTAAATTCTCTCTACAGAGACCTAATGTTTCATTCTCGCACAAATGATGCGTGTCAGAAGGAATAGAACTAAGTCTCTCGCCATGCGATTACTCGTTCAACGGAAACGGATAAATCTTTATTGAATGTTGAAAAACTTAAGAAAAAATTACAATGAACTCCAAAATTACAGAAATTCCATCTGTTCAGTGACCTACACGACCTTTTGTGATTAGAATTTTCCCTTTGTCTAATCAAGAATACTTGTTAGTGTCAAGGTGATGGTATGTGAAAGCGTAGTCTGTGTTCATAACTACACAAGATCTAGGCAAAATGGGAAATTGTTTTGAGAGTAAGTTCTTAAAGTTTGAACGAGAATGTGTCATCTAGTAGATCTCCTATTTTGTATGTTTATTGAAGAAAAATATTAGTACGCCAGATAAGTACATTCAAAATAACGCACGGTGATCTAGTATTGATGACTGGGTGTCGCTTCGACTACAATTCAATGTTCATAATCGTAAGAATGCAGGACTATATAGGGCAATTTATCGAGTCGTGTGAATGCATTGGTAAGATGAATAAGAGACTGTCGTCGAAACGTCATCTAGTTATTAACACTGTTTCACATAGGGTTACATCGAATACATTTTTATGACATAGAATCTCACACTGCGACAGCGCTGAAATTCCGCTCTTACAATAATGGGAACAATAGCTTTATACTTCTATATATTATTCATAATAAACCTACCTGTTCAATCACGAAAATGGTATATGGTATTTTTTGGTGCCTTATAAACGCATGTAGATGATTTGTTACAATGCGTAGGTGTTCATCGCGATTACGATATGGAATGATTATAGCTGATGACATGCTAGTAGAACAACCCATTGGAGTCCATATTTTAGGTAAACTGTGCTTTTCGGTGACTCTTTCGCTTTCATCACTTTCATTTGATACACTTGTAACGTTTGGCAATGCTGCATCATATCTAGTGTAAAGTGATCCAAATAAAGGTTTTAAATCGGAATTTTCTGCTGAGTTGTTGAGCACAATGTAATCCCTTGGCTGAGAAGATGCATATTTGGCTTCCAACTGTGGCCAAGTTAGTAGATTCAGAGATGGCTGTAGACGACCCACTGAGGATATAGAAAGAGAATTTCTCTTCTGTTTATTTCATAAAATAACGTGAAGAGTGAAGTTACTTCTATCATCAGAAATGATTGATTCATGCAAATTGGCCGCGTTTTCCACAAACCCAACTTCTAGAAACAGATGAGGCTTGGCTTTGCATGAGATGAAGCTAGAAATTTGTGCAATAAGGAAGTATGTACAGCTGCCTTTCCATCTCGGCCTTAGGACAGAAAAGAGCGACACAAACACTTGTGTTTTTGCCTGTTAAATCGCTCTTTGCATCCTTCCCTTATTACCACCACTGTTACTGTGAATTAATTTCACTTTGTGACAGTTTCCATCACTGTTTTACTTCTCTCTTGTAGTAAAATCATGCAACACTTTACTTCACCCTACTTCTCAGCTCCCTGAGTAGTGTCTCCTTTCGTCTATTAATCTTACTAGTTTTACACACTTTTCGAAGATTTCTGCATTCCATGCACGATTTTGTGCATGATGCAATTTACCTTGTTGTCTTTGGATGTTTAATTACAAATATAATTGGGAACATTTGATGATTGTTAGGGGCATACCGATCAATCTCACCAAACATCTACCTGTCTATTGAGTTCATATGAGAATTCAAGAAGGTGAAACGGCAAGTGAAATAAAGAAAATACTGGAGTATTTAGGACTAATCGGAATATTAATTGACAATACTCTCGCCAATTTAATCCAACAAGGACTACTAATGGGGTAATGTGCGAAATTTGACGGCCCCTCCCACTCACTCAAGCTAACTCGTCAATCCTCATCGGATTGTTTTACTAAGAGTATGGTAAGTAATCCCCCTCCTTCTCAGTCTTAAGTCTTCCAATATTTATCTTGTTTTATTAACCTAATGTTTCTTCACTTTCAAGTAAATAACACACTTTTCACTGTTGACACCTACTGCTTGAATTTTCTCACGTGCTATCGTCCTCAATAAACCATTTATGAACTACACCTTCAGAACTCAGTAACAGTAATCTTACAACAGAATTTCTTCACTAAATTTTGTATGCTAAATGATACAGCTGGGCTTCTGTATGAGTAAGGGAAATAGGTGGAAACCAGGGGGTGCCACACAGCTTCACCGTTCTATTTAGGAACCACTGAATAGTGCACACCAATGACCTCAATACGGACCCAACTCAGGATCTTCAGGTTACGAGACATTGGTGGCTGACCACTCAACTAGGTGGGCCGGAATTCACTGACCCGTGAATTCTGACTTTGTCATCTCCCGATACGGAGCTACTCTCACCAATGCCTTCGATGAGCATCCACTTCACCCTGACATCGTGAGCTCCAACAGTCACGACTCCTCACTCCAGTTGACAAAATTAGAATTCGTGGGTCACTGAATCCCAGCCCACGTGACTGAGTGGTCTAGGATTTCAGCCTCGTAACCTGAATGTTTGGAGTTCGTTCATTGTAAGGGTCGTGTTGACACACCGCTGGTGAGTCCTGAAATAGATCTACACAGCTTCCCAGTACTCCCTGGTTTCCAGCTATCCCTCTGACTGATGTTGGTTAGTGAAGAAATCTGACGATTGGAATTATATTACATTATCGCCACTAATCAACAACGACTAGTCTAAAAAGTGTAATAAGGTATACTCCATCACAGTAATATTACATTAGGATAACAAAGAGAGCTATTCGTATGAATTTGTGCAGATGTCAGTTTAAAACGTCCGCGGAAGCAACTTACCCTGGTCATATTTGAGTCGATAACAGCCCACCTGAAATGGAAATAAAACAACCATCTTCTAGTATAAGAAAGTGTATTCGCATGCAGAATGCTTTTAGTGGTGATTTGAAGGTCTTCTCCATATTCACACTTCGTGAACGTACTGGTTTATTATTTGTTTGTATGTTTTCATTTCCAAAGGAGCATGTGCTTAGTTCAAGTTCTAGCAACATTATCTTATTTCAGTGAAATGAAAAAGATAATCTCTGAGCAGAACTATTGTGTTTCCTTAGACTTACCTCCTACATACTACTTACTGTTCCTCACGAGTAGCAGTTTCTTTCTTTTTATCAATGTAAGTCATGATTAGTTCGTTTAAGAGTAAAAATATGCTGAAGGTAATTGACGAAGTCAACTGTAAACGCACAAGTATTTTACAGCCTCAAGGTAGAGTCAACTGGGAAAATACGGCTATTTGAATTTCACTCCGCTCATATTTAATAGTTTGTAAACATTTTCCATCCAATCAACAAACAAACAAACAAACAATGTGAAACCAACTTGATATGAACAGCAAACGGATTGTTTGGGCCACTATCTGTGCGTTTCTACTACTTAAAATAGGTGTCTAAACGTCTGAAATAAGCCTAATACTTGGAATATCATTGTTATACCTCAACCATATTCGGACATATTCGATCCCCAGTAATGCAGCAAAATCAATGAACTGACATTCTACTCCTTTCCGTATCTACCACGGAAACAATGCTTGCTGGAAAGAATGACTGATTGCTCCATCAGATCTACGTGTCACACTGCTTGTTTTGAACTTTTTTAACATTTTTAACTCGAAACGACATAGAATATTTTACTTGGTCCATTGGCATCTACATGATATTTTTGTGTGTATGACGCACCTTGTTTTGAGTGCAATTTCGCTTATACCCCCACCTCCCGCCTTCTCTCCTCTACTTCTGTGTGTCTGTTTCATCAGACGTTGCGAAGGAAACTTTAGTTTCGGTTCAGGGATAGTGTAATTGTCGGAGTTTACTGGCAGTTTATTATTAATCATTAATAATTGTTAAATCCCTCCCTGTTGTATATGCTGATGCAATTAAGTTTGATTTTAGGTTAAGTTTAGTGACTCTTTTATTGATATCGTACTGAAAGAACCTTGGGTAAAGATAAATATCATGAAGTTGGAATTCAAAAATAACAAACGCAGATCCTATCACATCTCACCTACTTGTGTGGTTACAGATAGAAACTCACAAAAGGCGTTGGGACGTGTTTGAAAATTGTTGGCTTTGACATATAAACGATTCAGTGGTACAACAGAGTATCCCTCACTCGAATATAGTCACATTTTCTTCACGACTAGGTAACCAATTTAAACGGTAGGCAAACAAACAGAATTATTCACTCGTTTATCGCATACCACTGGAATACTTTCGGAATTGTCATTCTCCACAGTCAATCTATAGGCCTAGTGAAAACTCTGTCCAAGCAGTTGACTACGATCTAACAATTTAGATACCACCTAAATACTTGTGAAATGCATATGCAGTCACTGGAGACAGTCAAGTAGTAAAGTCTCCAGTTGTGGACGTAGAAGGATAGACAATGAGAAAACAGAATAAGTCAGAGGCATGTCGACCTTCAGATTAGGAAGGATATCTTGAGACCGATGGGATATTTTAGAGCCGAAGAAACTCAAACATTAATGGTGGTTTCGAATTTCACAACTTTCGTTCGCTGGTATCATTTTGTCGACAAGCCTGTTCCAGTAAAAGAATAAAAATGACCATCGAGTATGGACACATTTGCAGTGAAAATACTGTTATTTAAAAGAAGCAGGATACGAACAGAAATACGACCTACCTCTTTCAACTGATTATCAAGGACCGATGTGTAGTTGACGACAAATATTGGACCATGTTCATCTGACTTCATGCCCACCAAGTAGAATACATACATGAAACCGAAGAATATCAACAGGAGAATAAGTAGTTTCAAGGGCGAACTGACCCACGAAGGCTGCATTATTTTGAATTCCTAAAAGTGAGGCACAAGTGAAATTTTCTATATGTCTTTCCAATTAACTTGTTATTGACCTAATCCCAAATAGTCTAGCCCAATTTATGGTAAACAACATATCTCCTTCCCATAAATGCAAGCTGTCAACCCAGGAACCAGATATATTTCTGTGACTAACTTTGTAAAGGTCGCAACCCGTCAGCGGATAACCGGCATGTAAAGCATACATCAATTTGTGGTCAACTAACAGTCAGGCAGTATTCATATCCTGAGTGTCTTATAAAATAAATACCTCAGAGTAGCATCAATGTTATGTCCCCGAGAAAGGGAAGTAGCAGTTGAATAGAAATCCATCATCACTCATTGAAAACCGCTTATCAATGTCAGGTCACAAAATCAATATTAATGACTGATTCATGATTACTTCACATAACTCTAATTCAAGGTTATTGGAGGTGATGGAAGCACTTTGAATTAATCACATACATCCTAAACTATGTGTACAAAACACAATAGACTTCAACCTTCACCTACCATGGACTACTTGACTGTATAAATATAGACCAGTCATTAGTATGTACTTTTGTTTTATATAACTGAGTAATTATCATGCATTCCATTTTATTATTGTGAACCATGTTACTTGTAAAGGGGTTGTGAAAAAACTAAGAAACTAATGATATCATCTCGCGAGACGTCTCTTCTAAATGTCTTATTCAAATTTATCACAGAGACTAATTGTTTGAATTTGGAATATTTTAAAATGGTTGAAATTTCATCCTTATGATATACAATGCCTAAAGCAACAAAACATTTCATCCTCACTTCAGGGAACCGATATCTTGGAAATCCCATTACTATTTGACATGCGTTTCCGTCTACACACAAAAATAACAAGCTTTGGATGAATTACAGGATAGTAGGCTGTTCATTTGGATAAGTCTTTGCACATATTATTAAAAGAAAAGGCGTTCAGTGAAGAGTTACTCTTTTCGACGGTGTCATTCTCAAGCTCTAATTTTTTTTTTTTTTTTTTTTTTTTTTTTTTTTTTTTTTTTTTTTTTTTTTTTTTTTTTTTTTTTTTTTTTTTTTTTTTTTTTTTTTTTTTTTTTTTTTTTTTTTTTTTTTTTACGTCGAATGCTTTGGGAATGTCCAGTTGCACATACTCCTTTTTTCGACAACAGAATTTACAATATTTATATCTGAGTGTACAGCTTGAGAATGACATCACCGAAAAGAGCAACTCTTCATTGAACGCCTTTTCTTTTATATGACTCATTGGGGAATTTCAAAGAACATAAACTTCAAATGACGAAGCGGGTTCAGTTAATATAAACATCTATATTTCACTGAGTATGCTAATTAATTCATGTGATGTTTTCAACCGGTTCTAAGTTAGCTTAAGATTTATTTGACTCTGTACAACTTTATATTCATGAAACAATCCGAATGCATGCTGATGGTGTAATAAATGATTGTTGTCAATGAGGTTCAGTGTTTTCGATCACCTCTTAAGAGAAAGTTTGTTAATTTACCATTCACATCTGTCTACCACTAAACTCTGATTCCATGAGGTATAACAGCTCTCAAAGCTGCATGATTATCCGATCAAGAAAAACTTTCTCCAGACCAGATTTGTCAAATAGTTCATGTCATGATAAGATGCAAGACAGTATGAGTCATTCTTCATAGAATGCTTCCAGAGTGAAAGAATAAGTGAAGTACATCAGTCGAACTACCGGGTCATGTCAAAATTATCCAGTTTCGTCTAAGCGAAACTCTTATCCACCAACCAAGAAATTAGCGAAATGACGTAATGTTATTCATGAACACAGAGTTAATCATCTACCTGAGGCATCTTTAAACACAAATCGAATCACTCGGTGTGATTCTTTCGTCGTAAATACAGGATCTATATCAGCGTGACAAATTTTAAATACCACAAAGTAACATTCAATCAGAGTATCGTCATGACGTTTAAAAGGGACGAATAACTGGAGTGATGAGTCGTTTAAATAACTTAATCCTCAGACTCAACTGATATCGGCCCACAATAGATAGTAAAGGCAAACTAATATTATGTCGGACAGCGCGTTGTGGTTCATAAGATCAATTAGAGATAAAGTAGAAGAAGGATTAGTAAACGGTTAGTTTCGCCTGTAATTTACGTGGTACAGGCAATGCGGGCATGAGATGAAACACCGAAATGGCGCTCGTAAATTTCTGGCCAACAAAACAGAGTTTGAGTTATAATCTGTGGAGTGAGAGAAAATGTGAATACTACAAATAGGTTAACTCTGGAAGTCAGTTCAAGAGATGACAAACAACCCTGATAAAATGATCATGTGGTGTGGTCCCAGTGGAAGTTGGCCATCGTCAGCTCGACGCACACCATCTAAAGCAGAGATAAGACCACACTGCTGATACATTTAGTTCCTCTCTTACCTAACAATACTGGCGAGTTTTCAAGGTGTGCAGATAAGGTCATCCGAGTATGGTCTATTAGGTCAGCTTTGCAGAGCAGTTGAACGTTTGGATAAAGAGTGAAGAGGTCACCGGCAGTAATTTATCATTGACTAGCTACGTGAATACCAGTTTGACTGAGAAAATGGTTCCCATTTCAGCCGCCTGTACGGACGTTTTCCGTGATATTTCGTAGTCCTAGGAAACTGTGAAAAAGGAGGCGACTACGTCTCCTATATGTGACTGAAGTGGTAGTAATCAGTGCCATAAAACCTGATATCTGAATCCAGGAGACATATACCCACCCATCTGTGTACCTCGGTCTACGATCGGATAAAAATTTCTCTACTAATATTTGTTGGTGATCTCCTTCTTCTGCGCTCCCCCCACCCCCACGTTTCATTGACAAACCTGTAACTCGGACATTTATTGTTACCTAAGCTTTCTTGTGAACACAGCTGAATTCCCCGCTTTCGATTGCTTCTCTGAAGTTATCTAATATTTTTCTACATTCGTCATTGCATTCACATACTCAATTAAGGGAATAAAATAAAGTCCACTTTCGTAACAATCGTGGCTAACACTCAACTCCAACTTCATTTCAGTCTATATTCACCTTATCTACATTTGTGCCTGCTTCTCCTTTACTTTCCTAGCTCTTTTCCAGAAAACTACTAACTAATAGAGTACATCTGGAAGTAAACTCACCCGGTTAATAATACAGACTTATCTAACACAAGTTAAATAGACGGTGTTCCAAACTATGAGGAAGATGACAGGATTTTCTCATTGTTTTGTAATACTATACTTGATGTGTCTTTCAAGATGATAGCTGTTAATCAGTGTGAATTAGGCAAGTTCTTGTGCTTTTTGGCCATGCTGTGTTCCCGGAACTAGATGATTTAATTGGAAGGCTTCCAACGTCCTTTAGGAGGACACTTTCAGTATCAACTTTTAAGTGAAGTATCCTTCAGGAATCCACTACGACTGAACAATCGTCTTTCCTAGGAACCTAGACTGTAACCTGTTGTTTTCGGATATTTGACATGTGATCACGTGACTTATTGTTTATTATGCGACAAATGTGATCTATGCCAGTGTCTGTTAATCTGATCTAGGATCACATGCTGTGTAATGAAACAAGTTAGCTTGAAGAATATGGTGAAGAAAAAAATAAACAGTCTGAGATAAAGTTTGAGTTTTGCTCCTAGACAGCAGCATTTCAGGAAACATGTGGACAGCTTTCAATGAAATTACAGGTTGTGTTAAGCAAAGTATTAATGTCCCCTCTGTTGATGTAGATACTCTCAAGAAATCTTCCACACGCTCTCCTAATGTTGCTTTAGTCCGCAATGTAACCAATGACATGGTCAATGACTTTCGTGGTCTTAGCACTTTTGATGTTCTCAAATGTTTGGAATCTCCAAAATCTTTTCAGAGCCTGAGACCCGATGGTGTGATTTTGTTCAGCTGCTGTCGTCCTCAAAATATGTGGTGATATTTTTCGTCTACCAACTACAAACATATTGAATACTTCCTTTTCCAGTAACGTTGTACCCCCTGCATGGAAAGACATTAAAAACATCCCTGTACCTAAATCAGGCTCTGCAATTAGTGCTAAATTCGGGCCTCTTGCAATTACCTGGAGAAATTACTCTTAATCAACCGTGTGCCCTGTATAAAAGGTCTTATTGATGCTAAACAGTCCGTTTATAGACGAGACCGAAGTGCTTTATATGCTGTCTCTAACCATGTCGCTTCCTGTCAAATCCCAATCAGACTGTTGCAAACCTAATAGCTCTTGTCGGACATCAGTCAGTGGTCTAAGCTAAGTGATCTTATGTTAGATCCCTCAAAAGGTCAGACTACTGACTTTTCATTCAGACATAAACGTGATCTACAACGACTGGTCAGTGCACATGATGTATGTAGCATAGAGGGGACTGTAATAGAAATCAAGTCCAACACAAATTACCTTGGTATAGTTATATGCTTTAACCTGACTTGGTCATCCTATATTTCGTCGACCTCCAGGAAAATGTCCCGTCTAAACTACTACACTAAGAAGCTAAGACAATCTGGAACACCTCAACCTCTACTTTTACAATTCCTTAATTCTTTCATCTCACCTACTGCACCTTACTCTTCCCCTTAGTCTTTCCTGGTCTACTAAAAAGGACTATGTCATTTTAGAAGGTATCAAAGGCTGTCAGTCGGGAAACTGGTGTGGTACTCAGTCAGCTTTTCACTATATTAGTTGATACACATCTGAATTCTTTCGAGAAGTAGTCTAAATCCATACTGTCTGATCTCCAACACTCCCTCTATTCCCAACTCTACCTTTGTATCTCATCTGGTAGAACTAGAAGTCAGTACAAAATATTATATGCTCATACAGTCAAATATAGGAAGTCATCGATACTATATTTGGCCCTTGTTCTATGCGATAGAAACAGTGTTAAGCGGGAAACTTATGAATTACTATGTTGTCATCAGAATAATCAGCTCTTTTATTATCTCCTATTTATTTATTTTTTAACTTATTTTTGATTACAGCTTGATTCCACACAGTATTTTTGGTACAAGTATGGAATTTTCAGCATGGATATCGGTAGCCCAAATTTCTCAGGCCGACCATAGATATCAGGTGTGCACCGGTGTAGGCTCGAACCCCGGACCATGTGCATGGTCGGTGAGAGTCCTAACCACTGTGCCACCGACGCAATCCATGGTGACACTACCTCGATTAACTGACAATCTTAGCCACCAGAATTACTATTTACAGGTATTTTACAGTTTTTGTGTGTTTATGTTTGTACTGTCACTGGAAATACTATCTAAGAACTGCCATTAACAACCCTCAAACATTATTTTTATGGTTGTTTTCAGTGTTGTTTGTTAAAATTACGTGCAATATTGTACCAAATGCTGAAAATTTCACACAGTACCATTAGTACTGTTTTGGAATAAAGTAGATTATTATCATTATTATTATTATTACTCCTAAACACCAAGGCGTAGGTTGAAAAACGAGGTAACTTTGATTGTTTGAACATAATCATTTCTGGGTTTTTGACATAGGGCCCTAAGAACAGTAAATTATTTTATTCATTAAACTACTCACCTTTGTACAGTTATATACGAGATATATGAATCTAAGTTTTCAGAAGTAAATACACTGTATTTTCTATCAAATGGACTTAAAAGAAACAGCGACGTAAAATTCATTTCTTTCAATATGTACAAAACGGAAATAAGAGAGCGAAGGGTAACACAATCCTCACACACACTATGGAATGAGATGAGATGTTCAATATTAGTTTTTAATCAAACTGAAAACGGTTTGATGTATTATCAATAAAAAGGGATGTAAAATACTCGTGAATGAGTCACATTAATATGAAAATCAAAACACAATAGAAGTATTGAAGATTGGTCACGAAATGGCTACACTTAAAGAACCACTGAAAACCAGAGAGTACTGGACAGCTGTTTCGTCCTTGTTTAGGACTCTCTATCAGTACCCACCCCTGACCCAATCAGGGGTCGACCCCAGATCATGAGTAGATAAGCCAAACTCATTTTGCCTAAATAAATTAACAGGGTAGTAATAATTTATCTGTCCTTGGATTTTGAAGTTACTCAACAAGAAGAACCGGCGTATAACTCAGTGCCTATCTTCATTATAAATGCACACATAACTCGTAGTATTAAAGTCGTATACATTTTTATCCTCAAACACACTATTGTAAATCAAAGACCGCGGCCAAGGAGACTAAGAGTTACTACTTGATAAGTTATGTCATGAAAGCTCTCTGTCCGCATCAGTTCGCACCTAGCAGAGTTACACAATCTATCTTTAGTCTTTATAGCATGCGAAGAGTCGACATTCGCCTTCTCTGAAATATGTGACTCCATCTTCTGATACACAACATCATTGTCGTAATTGTCTGATGTTCCTCGATAAACAGAGATAATTCACACTGTAAGTTAAATGGAATTCTTCAATTCACCATCATAATTCACTCCACGATTACAAAGGGAATTAAGAATCCACATATTTTAGATGTGCTGGGTTTTTTCTTATTTTGTTACACAGTTTAAATCTTGGAGACTGTTCCAACCGATTGCGTAATTAAGAAATGGAATATCGATCTAACAAGAAATGCATTTCTCAACACTAAATAGAGATTTTCTTAGTGCAAACAAATTAGACATAGTATAATTTCTCACAAAAAGTCAAAAATCAATATTTGTGCAAGACTATTTTTAACACGTTTCCTTCAATCATTTATTATGCTTTTTCTCACTTAGCATGTATATGCTTGGTGTTTTGGTAAACACAAGAGATTGATTAACTATGTAATTTTCTATTACACTGATTAATACTTCTGATTCAATGAATGTGAAATATTTTAGGTGCGAAGTTATGGCCACGAATTGAAGTATGAATAAATACTATCAGACATGTTTCTCATAATGACTAATATGATATACTGGAGTTGTTAACATTACGAAGGTCAGCTACAATCTGAAAACCACTAACTAGATAGTTGAACAGTCACGGAAGGCTACTACCCTGAATAATAAAATCACAGACTTAAATTAGTAAACGACAATTCTGTGAAGAAAAGTTTCTTTGTCCATGAAATCATTTTAAGAGGATGTTCAATCACACCTTTATTCACCATAAACGTGAGAAGGATATGCACTAGTGATTCAGTCAGCAATGAACTAGACAGACTCAGACACATCCCCATTAGAAGTGGATATCCTGGACGATTTATCGAGAAAACCATGAAAGTTAAGTGGTAGCATGAAAGAACGCAAACGGTGCCGAAGAAACAGCTTTTTATGCGTGTTGATTTTAAACGTGATACCTCAGCTGAGATTTTGAAGAGCCTCTTGTCCAGATTGCTGAGAAAAGCTTCCTTTCTAGCTGAGCGACGGATCAATTTCTACAGTAGACAAATGGTCAGTGAATGTGTGAGGAAAACACTGCCGTTTTGGGCTAATGCAGGGTGTGCTTATAAATTCATTTGCTCATATGGAGCTTGTTATGTCGGCCGCACAAAGTGCACACTTTCCAAACTCATCCTGAACATTATCCAGTATGGTCAGCGAGCGGACAGTGAGAGACAATTACTAACTCAACTCTCTGACACCAGTTGGACTCAAGCCAGGCAGTTCCGCCAGAGTCGTTTTCTCAGATTATTCTCAAAATGAGACTGAGACGTGCAAGAGTTGTTAGGTTTCTGCACTTTTGTATGGTGGAGGAGATGGTCAATAAAACCTCCAATTCTGTGTACGGAGAAGGTTTGTTCAGACTCTCATTCAACCATGGTCTCAACCTCTTCCTAATTGTTCGCTTTCATTTTTACTAATTAACTCACCATTCTCATTCTTGCACCTTACTTTTGTAAATTTTATCCCTGCCTTCACACTTATCAAGTGACACTCAGTCGCCTTACTTTTCGTTCAATAACAACTTTAAACGTACCAAATTTCAGACCCTCTTTTCCATTGTATTGTTGACCATACTGTACTTTTTAATTTTGTTTTGGAAGCCACTTCTCCGCGACTGTGTCACTTGTAGTACCTCTTGATACTCAATAATAGACAACTGTGTGTTTTTGGTAAATATGAATATCAACTTTCTTCGCTGAACTGTCTTTTATTTTCTACATAACTCACTGGGTAATTTCGGACTTAAGTTAACTGCAGGATTGAGTTAGCTAATTACTTATTTTAAAAATATTTTATGTCGCTGTGCATTCCGTGCGTAGGTGGCATAGCGGTTAGGACGCTTGCCGACCATTCACATGGTCCGGGGTCCGATCCCCGGCCGATGCACTCCTTTGCCTCGCTAAACCAGTATTGAGACTGGTTAAGAGGGAAGGTTGGGCATGAGGCTAGCAACCTCATCAAGCTGTAATCAAATTAAAAAATTTAAAAAATCACTGTTACAGAAACTTCAAGCCTCCAGCTTGAAGCACTGTGTTCCACTGGGAACGTGAAGGAAATAAGAAAAACCATGCATTCTGTGATATGATAGCATTCCGAGGAGATGTCCCTGTTGGCCATGTTACAAAACAGTAGGAAAGGTATTAGACAGGTGGGTTGACTTGGTTGTTTGTGAAAACGACAAATATAGGAATTTTTATCATACTAATTGTGTTAAGTAGGAATAAAAGAAACAACCTTCCGAAAATAAAACAACTGGTGAATAATCAACCAATATCTTTGAGATCTCGTCCAAGTCTACAGACAGTATACTCCTTAATTCGAGAAACTGCATTGGTAAGCTGTAAAGCGTGTACGCAGATTGAAGCTGTTCACTGGTGAGATATTGCGTAAAAGCACAAAGGAAGACATGTCGTGTAATTCGTAATTGTAAGTGTTATTTGATAGACTCCTACCTTTCTGGGCAAAACACGTTAATCTAATGTTAATTGGTCTACACATCAGTAAATTACAGTGAGAAAAGACAAGATATTCGAAGTAGTGATTTCTCAACAGTGAAATACTTCACCAGTGTGGATGATTCCCGTAATTAAAAGGTTTCTCCTTCAGAAATATAGAACGATTCATTCCATTAAGTAGGCATTCTCTCCCCATGGTAGCATATTTTCAATGTACTATCCTAAAGTTTTCAGACTACTGAATTTTTCAAAGATAGAAACAACATGTGTATTACTGGTACCTTTGAGATAATGTCACACTAGACTTATCAGCCGAAGTAACGAAGGCAAACTTTTGGATTACCGCACAACTCACATATCCTTAATCTCGATGTACCATAGGTGCTAAGAATCACAAGCGCCAGGTCACTATTTATCGAGTACCAGAAGGCTATATAGCGAGAAACAGGTGTTTAATGCGCCTGTTTATTAGCACAGTTTAGTTGAAACGTCTGGCGAGAATAGTCTGATTGCCTAATTAAACTTTATTACGCTTCAACTTAGAACGGGAAAGTATCATGAAAGAAGGGGAACTGAAGTGCTATTTCCAGTTCATCTTGCAGTATTCAATAATCCAACTATTCGGAGTCTCTTAGTCTTCGGTAGTTATCCAACTGTGTGGCTTTGTGATCCTACTGAAATTATTTTAGTTTATGATCAAAAGTACTTCAACATTTACACAAGGATAACCGCATGAACAGTATTAGTTTATCAACTATATGCAGATAAGTGATATAAAGAAATTCAGTTAACATTATGCATGAAGTGTTAACATAATCATTACAACTTACTTTCCACTTAACTCATATTCCATTTAAATGCGTCAATGAATTGTCACAATGCATAGAGTGGAATAATGTTATCGAACATTTACCACATTTCTCAGAGAGTCTCGCAAAAGACAGCCATTTATCAGGCAATCAATTAGTTATCTGTGCTGTCAACACTCACAGACACACAAAATGAAGAAAAACGTCTCACTCAAAGGCAGTTTTACATTTCAACGAATAGGAATAGTGTTTAAAAAGACAATATATTAACATGCATGTTATAATTCTAAACTGCATATAATTAAATCAACAAATGTGTTTGTACTTTCTGTGTCTGTATCTCCTGACATAAACCATTATGTGAGTGAGTATGAAGTTAACCAAAATAATGAGTAAAACTACAAATCTATCATAACAAGTATGCTCTTTTACATTAAATAAGCCACACTGAAGGATTCTTAAGTGCTATGCTGTCGCTTTGATCAGTTAATTGGTCAATATGTAAAGGATAACCGCACAGACAGAAAGAATTACAGAACAGAATGCTTGAAATTGAAAAGGTCTTCAAGAGATGCTACTTTGTTTCGATTGTCTCATGATGACAGAATCCCATGAGCATTCACGCGGTTATTTCTAAAAACCACAACATTTTGAAAATATCTAGCAGTTAGATAATTTGATAGTTGAATTGGCTGCTTATTTCAGAGTATCGTCTCACTTATTCAAAGGCAATAAAGGAAGGATATTTAATAAAGTACGGATTCGATGTAATTAGTGATTGGCTCATAAGATAGTGCGCTTTATTAACAGACTCTCTTGAAATTTCTGAATCTGCACAAATATTCTTTAAACATGATTGACTATTCACAATATGTATAGTAATTCACGATTTCGGATTCGCACTGCTTCGAGGGGAAACTTTCACTGTACTTTGAAGTCATTTTTGTAAAAGGTCAACAAGCTTTTGGTTATCCGTAGAGGTGAAATGAAAATTCAAGAATAATAGATTATTTTACCTTGTCAATCGTGTAAACACTCAATTCAGTTGACAGACACAGTGTGCATTGACTTTAAAATGCTTTGATTGTGTGTATGGAAGCGTTTAGTTTTATCACCATATAATCTGTAAAATTGATGTCACAGCATTTAGAGAATAAACTTATTTGATAGAAGGACACAATGACTACAGTATTGTTAACCTTCGACATCATCAGCAAATAACACCGTATCATTGTGTTCTTCTGCCGAATAAATTTGTCCTATCATGAAATTCTACTCTACCGCACGACTATCACAACAACCCTAAACTTTTGTCTAAAGTCACAAGATGGGTAGTTACTTCAGGAGTCACGTTCCAATTAGTCAATTTTCGCGTATTTCTCATACTTCCGATTCCACAGTTTTTGATTAAATATGAACATTTGAAAAACCCTCTTTATTTTCATTACCTGTAATTATACTAGATTTGAATGACTGCAAAACGACTACTAACTGTTCAGTTCAATACGAATCATTTACGTGGGCCACATACAAAATTTTTATGCACTCTGATGTAAATTTAGTGGTGCATATATGGCACTCAGTTTTATTACTCTGGTTTCTATTCATTAGAATTTACAATAACAGTCTGTGTTAGCTGAGTTGTGTGGCTGGATCCTCAATCGTCTGCATATATTGTGAGGCTCCTGGATTTATAATGTTAGAAATTACACTGACTCTGTTTGAACACATTCACCTCTGCATTCAACAGGCAAAATATTGCACGAAAAGTTAGAAAGTATTACTTCTGCTGAAAAACACGTTGATTTATTTCGTTAGCTTTACCTGAAAGCCTTGTAGTTCAAATGAACCACCGAAATCTCCGAAGATTTATTCCAAGTGCTCATCGATTTGCCTATATTTTCCAGTAGATTCGAATGGATCCCTGAATTAAACATATACTTTATTATTATTTTTATTGTTTCTTTGAGTTCCTAGTGGAACATAGGGTTTCAACTGCACCTTTCTACTTGCTTTTGTCTTCTGCTGCACTTTTCACCTGCATCCATGTTAGTCCATACTGTTTCAACTCCTCTTCACACGATCTCTTCCATGTCACCCTTGGACTCCCGCTCGCCACTTCCCATTCGGGTTCCACTCGACCGATAGCCTGACGCGCGCACGATGTCACCAACCGGCCTTCTCAGCTAGTGTCCAATCCAACTCCACTTTCTCCTGCATATTTGATGGGCGATTGGTTCTTGCTCTGTTTCTTCCCATAGTTACTTGTTGGGGGTTCTTTCCAGCCCGGCCATCTGATCTTCAGACAGTCGTTGATGAAGGTCTGCAACAGGCTGTTGGAAATATATTATGTGACCCGCCAAGTTTCTTATCCGCATAGAAGAAGTGACTTGACGTTTGTATTGAAAATCCGAATATTGTTCTTGATGCTGAGTGACGAAGATTTCCAGATTCGCTTCAGCTTGATGAATGTGTTTCTCGCATTCCCAGTCCTCTTGGTAATATATATACATAATCAAAGCAAAAAGAATTTACACTAACAATTTTATGAGCATCAGTTTACGCCTATGCACCGAATTAACAAATGAAAACAAGGAATAAATCCATAATGAACCGGAAATAACTGGATATTCATTTCGCCGATTTGTGCACGATTGATGGAATTACTGGTGCGGTTAATTACATGTAATTTGAAAATATTTTCACATATCCAGTGTTGATTGCTCTGTATCATATTGTCGCAACCGTTTGACAACATTCATCACTGATTCCCGAGGAAATGTCTGCAGCCGCGCGTCCAGTACTGCATGAGTTTAAAACTGTAGTTACCTGAGAAGCGCGAGAGCTAGAGATCGTCTCTGGATTCACTAGCATTTTGGGTCAATACAATTTGTTGTTAAAGGAGTGGATTCCTAACAGCATATAAGATAGCTACAGAAGTAGCTTAAGTATGCGCATTGAGCGTTATGGAAAAGTAGAGATGTTGAGTGAAGATAGCTCTGAAAAGAGCTGGAAAACGTCTTGAAACCAATAATAGTGACGGAAAATGATGAAACGTCCGATTCGTAAACAGCAGATTTTCGTAATATGTAGAGACGTAAGACAACACCTTCCGATATTCGTTCACAGTGTCGCAGTAAATGAAGTTACCATGGAAATAATCCATCTTGTAATAGAAGCATGCTTGAAATGAAACTTTCACTTACTTCACTTTCCAGAAGTCACTTGGAAGAGACTTAGTCAGTAAACACTGAAAATCTCTTGGAGATAGTAGCAGTCAGTAGCGCTTAGTGGAATTTAGCTCAGTTTACTAATTCTGTTTCAAAATATGGTGGTAACTATGACTCGAGGTCTGTACGATTTGAACTGGTTGGAATTGAAGCATTTAATTTCCACAATAGCTTTCTGAAGTCCAGTAGTAAGTAATTTATCCAGTGAATGTGGTGGTTCGAGCTTCAACGATGTTTGAGATAAGAGAGACATGTGAATCAGTGAACAAGGTGATTATTGACTCTCGTCAACATGTCACGCTTTTCAGCTGATCAGCGTCATGATTATTTAACCTATAAGAAAAGGATTATTGGAAACATCGATTCACTGTACTGACGCAGCTCATGATTCTGATCCTTGTGCTCTACTGTTTCGTTTTACTCTAATTTACGCGGAGATGGTTTGAATATACTTTCGCCAAGATCGTTGACTGACATCACACATCAAGTCTTCAAGTGGAACCCGAAAGAGGAGCAATGAGTTAAGCGTCCAAAGGTCACATGGAACAGGTCACTTGAAGAAGGAAACTGGTTTCGGAAAAACAGTCGAGCCAGCTAGAAAAGACAGAAGAGAAGAGAGTGAAATGCAGACGTTCTGCTGAAGCCCTATATTTCACTCTGAAAAATAATAAGTGATTATAATCTTAGTTTCGAACCACTTGATCACTAAAACATATTGGCCTAATACCTAACCGACTAGGGGTTTTCAGGAAACTGACATTCAAAGATAGTTTTATTTCTAAACTGATCATTTGATACGTAGTTCTTGTCATCATTAGTGCTCATTTGGAGTGGTCTAAAGCTTAGAACATTCGCGTTCTGTAATAAGCGTTTCAAAGTTCTGCAGTTGGATTTTGGAGAAATCACCGTACCTTTTAGTTTCGGCTTTTATTCTCTGTATTCTTGACTGTTATATGCTTACAGTATGCCAAAGGAAGGCAAGGTGACTTCGAATACACTATTTCAAAGTCTCACTTTCCAAGAAGAATACATATTAATTATGATCAAAACACCACTCATTCCGTGTAAATTCAGAAGTTCAATTGCCTTCTTGTATTTATCTGCATTTCTAGACGTTTTACATGGGGTGACAGAGAGACAGATATTGATGAACTATTTTGGTTTTCACTGTTGACCTGTGAACTACGAGTTGGCGTATTGAGTAACTGAATTCCTAAACTGTGGAAGGAAAGGAGGCTGAATGGTAACAAAATTAAAATGTAACGGTGGTTCAGACAATCAAAAGGTTGGGAGATAGTTTACGATCGCTTATTAGGAGTGACGATATTACCATGAGTATGCTTTTCATTCTATGTAGAATTGCTATTCGCCAATGTGCTATTTGAGGAATTGATTGATATTAAATACAGTCATGTAGAAATAGTAGACTTTCTCTCAAATACTCCGGAACTTTAATTTTTGTTGTGCTAGACAAGTATTCAATTTCAATTCAACTGAAAGTGCTGTAAATAAACAACATTCATATTCGTTTGGTAACTGTGGATATATTTTAACCAAATTAAAGATTACTTAACCATGTTCAAGATAAATAAACAACTCTTTCAGGTTATATGAAAGAGAAACTGCAAGAAGAACCAACTCAGGACTTTCAATTTACCTCACTCAAATGTAAAATCCACGGGCGAATATCAGTGTTATAGGGAAGGAAGAAGGTCCATTCATGCGTGGGGTTGATGTGAATATAAATGGATGAATTAACACCTGCTACTTCTTAGTTTTCGTCCCATTTAGTATGGAAGGAGTTTAGTCCTTACCTTGTCCTTAAGGTTAACTAAATTGTTTTGAAGACGTAAGAGAAATCGAACTGTGGAATGTGGGAAGATTTTTGGCATTGTAAATATCTCACAAAGCTCATTATCAAGGAATACTAATATAGAAAGCAATATCAAATTGAGAAAACTCTGTCGACTGAGAATAACATGCTCGTTACACAACCAGTGGAAGGCGATGCGGTGAGTTTAGAAAATAAACACCCATTCCACACATTTATCATAATATTTTATCCTGACGGGAAATGAACACCAAGAACATATTCAGAGGAACAAGCTTGGATGCTTGACTCCCTCATGTTGCCTCCAATCACTGCTCTTTATCGAATGATAGGTGCAATAACATTTACATATTGAGAGAGGATTATATCCTTTCAAAATGAATCCCAGTACGCGAAACTGTTTCATTCACAATTATGACACTACTTAGCGCTCGTATAAGTAGACGCAGATAGGCATGATACAGGCGATTCCATAGATCAAACACAGATTTTCACGTCGTTATTTGGCAGGCTTAGAGTAGATTACCACACTACTCCGATACAGCAATAACCTGATGAACCGGACGTAAATTTCGTATATATAATGATTTAAAGTTTCAGCATGCATTTCTATGGTAATCTGTTGTTCCCCACAATTTCACTTATTATGTCGTCCTCTATTCATTCATACCATTGTTTAACTTATCGTTCTTCAACGTTATCATGCATATGCATTGTATTCTCAACAATCCCAGGTTTTTGTCAATTCATTATATTGAAGTCGAAGCTCTTCTAATATCACTTCATTATTCTACTATTATTTCATCACCCATTTCTTTTATATGTATGTAACTGAGCTGCTCTCGCTTACAATCTCGTGATATTAAGTGCTTTACTAACACTACCTTTACATAACAATCTCAGATTATTTTGATTTCTTAATTGCAAATGTTTTACTTAGAGAACAGCTAGATGTGTTCATCGTCGGATTCCTGAGTACCATTGTGCATGGTTGAGTAGTAGACGTTTAAACCATGTCAATTCATCGCTATATTCTAGGCCATCTTGTTGATATTGATCATAGAGTTTACTTTAACTAAGCGTTTAGTCATGTGTCGTATTTCCTGTAACATTAGGTTTTCTCTCCAAGTTCGCCTTTTATATACAACAGCGGGATTTGGAATCCACCAGAATAACAAGCCAACTCTTTGCATGAAGAAAAATTCATACAGCCCTTTCCCTTGCTTTGTTTACCTCCAACTCCCAATACTCTATTCACCAGTTACTTTTATTCTCACTACCAAATTTATTTCCTTGCTTCACTTTGAATTCTTCGTATGTATTCGATTTTAATAATTTTTTCACTCATTTATTCTTGTCTTTGGGACAAATTATGCATTTTATAGGCACTTTTGTAAGTTCTACAGTGTTCACTCTTATTTCAGTTTTATCGGGTGATTATCATCCTTTCAATGTGTTGATATTCATGAATAGTTGACAATAAACCTACCGCTATCAAGTTCCATTTCATAGCGTACCAGCAACACCATCGAAAACCAGAGATTTACTAGACGGATTTTAGGTCTAGTTTGAGAGTCTTCAGCGACACTCATGGACGACACCACCAGGGATGGTTAACGGTTTGGCCTAAAATCTTATCATTCCTGCTAATGTAACACTCACCCAGTGCTCCTTGATTTTCAACGACTATATGATATTGCTTATTGGCGAAATTCACACTGGAGTTTAAACCTGTATAAAACTAGAAACGGCTCTGTTGGAGGTTGCGATCAAAGAAACTTTCGTTTTCTATTCTAATTGATGCTTTCGATCTTGTCTTTCTTTTCTGCTAGGTCATCATACATGCACGAAATTCACTCGTTTTTATTACTTTTAAGCTCATCTAATCAATCATGCCTGCTAATACGAAAATGGCATGTGAATTCAGAGTAGGATTAGTTGAGGCAGACCAATAGATAAAGTGACGTCTGGATGGTTTCAACGATGTTTGAGATAAGAAAGACGTGTGAATGAGTGAGTAAACAAGGTGGTTATTTACTCTCATCAACAAGTCACGCTTTTCAGCTGATCTTAGGCATGATTACAGCCGATAGGAAAAGGATTATTGGAAGTATCGACTCACTGTGCTGATGTGATTCCTGATTTTACCACAATCTTGAAAATCCTGTAAACATGTAAAAGTAATATAAGAATCTTCATTTTTTGAGTATTGACATTACAGATTATTAGACTGTGTAGATTACGTTTATTAACTCAACATATTTTAAGGTTGCATTATATTTTGCAGAAAATAAAATTTTCATCATATTCAACACAGATGCTTGTTTATGAAAGTTTATCAGTTCACAATGCCGGCTTATCTTTACAGCTAGTCAAGCACACACGTTTTTCCTGAAACCTCATTAGTATATAATCAATAAATAACTGAGCATAAAGTACTATAGAAGAAATATTTCTCAGTGAGTTTTATCGGAAAGTCGTACCATCATCTAAATAATAAATATTTCATACACAAATCGATTTGTCTGCGTGGGTCAAGTTTATAAAGCCAATGCATATCGTGACTATGCAATATGCTGCTCATCCAAATAATTCATTCATTTTCTATTCAACGAAATGTGGTCCCTATTCTAAGATAGGTTTAAACACAGTCCACAAGTATGAATGCTAATCAGGAAATGTAAGTAAATCGCAAATAATAATACTAATATCCTAACACAGAAAATTTCAATGAAACCATAATGGGTTGGGAATGCTTGATGTGATATTGAAGGTCTGCAAATGGCAATGAAAAACATTTACAACTATGGTTTCAAACTATGCATTATAATTGTCAAGGCTTTTGTGAAGTGAACTCAATAAATAAAAAAGATATTAGGAGAATTGGAAATAACTAATATTTTATTTTTTGACTGCATACTGCAAAGTAGTTGAACTGATTAACTTCATTCTCCCCACACTAAGATAAAATAAAACCATGAACGGAGGGTACATGTTCGTAATCTACAATTACACTGAAACACGGTACAACAATTCTGTTAATTTAAATTATTAATAAGCGAATCTGTTACAAATATCTATTACTATATCCTTGTTTTCTATTTGTACTGCTACCGAATATGAATATCAAATGGTTAAGGGTTTTTGACCCTCCCAATAGTTAATTAATTTGGTTACCGCTGTTTTCATTGTCCTTGCAGAAATCCAAGTCAAATAATTTTACTTCTCATATCAATGATATTATATTTATAATTATTTTTTAGACAGTTTGTACGGAAATGCGTCCTAGTTACGTCTAATTGGTTAATCATTTATCCAGTTACCACATTATGCATAACACTCCCTCTCAGGAGATAAAAATATTCGGAGAAAGCTTCGTGAAATACACAAAATAAACATAGTTCTGGAACTCCCCATTCTACCAGAGACACTACTCAAACAAACCATATTCAAATTAGAATATTAAACTAACAATATCAGAGTCTTTATTCCACTTATATCA